GGGTGCCCACGAGTCAGCTCCGACTCAGCGTGACCTCACGTACAAGAGAAGGAAACACCGCCCCGGCTCCATCCTCATTGCTGCAGCCACACGGTCAGTCCGTCGCATGGAGGATCTTCTTTTCTGCAGACACTCGGCTTTGCCAAGCATGAGGCCCTTCTCCAGGGACAGGTCCCTCCTGGTGACGTGTAGGTCTGTGAGCAGGAGTCGTGGCCCGCTGGCTTCTGAGGAGCCTTCTAGCTGGTCTTCAAGCACGGACATGTTGGCTCCTTGGGGGGCTCCCTTCTCGGACACATGCAATCGCCTTTGCCAACACCGCGACTCAGAGGCATCGACGGGTCCCTGGTCTTCTCTCTGCGTGGTCCGGCTTTTACGTGTGCCACGAGGCAACGGGCAAACCCTGGCTTGGAGCAGGGGCGTCCTGCTTTTCCAAGTGGCATCTCTGCTTTGAAACACCTGGGGGGGTCCGTTTGCCGCAGATTTGCTGAGTGCAATCCATTGCCTGAATCCGGATGGCAGCTTCCGTGGGCGCTGATTGTGGATCCCCTTGATAATATCGATCGTTTCTCGGTTTATCAGGATGCTATCTATTGGCCCAAACTCACACTCACGGACTTCAAGCCAATCTGACTCAAAGAGACACCACCCAGGGCCCCTTAGAACTGTCCCCGAGGGGTGTCGAGACTTTAACCCTTTAGAGGAGTAGACAGCCTCACCTTTCTCCCAGAGAGCAACAGGTGGGCTTGAACTGCTGACCTTATGGGTTAGAGGCTCAGTGTGCAGCCCTGGTGGTATCATGGGGACCTGTTGGGCTGCAAACTGCAAGATCAGCAGCTTGAACCCACCAGCTGCTCTGAGGGGGAAAGCAGAGGCTGTCTTCTCGAGTAAAGAGGTCCTGTCTCAGAAACCCACAGGGCAGCTCTACTCTGTCCTATGGGGGCGATGAGTCAGAATTGCCTCTCCAGCAGTGACCTCGTTACATCTCCTGAGCAGCTTGGTTTTCTTTACCTTGAGATATCACTCAAGGCCATCCTTTGACCTTCATCAGGAAGGACTTCAAGTCCTTTCAACAAGCAAGATGGGGCGGGGCCGGCTCTGGGCGGCCTCTTCCAGCCTGGCTGCTCCCTTGCAGCCAGCTCACCACCGTTTCCCAGCGAGCCAAGTGCCAAGCCTGCTCCGTGCTGGGGCAGAGGCTGCGCCTGGGCGCTGGGAAGGGGGCTGTGGATCCCAAGGGCAGTGTTACTGGTGGTCCTAGAGCCCCTTGCCCGCCTTTCCAAGAGCCTAAAACTTCCTGGGCGAAGGCTAAGAAGCCCTGAAAGAAGAGGAGCCTGGGGGAGGGGGCCGGATCTGTCTCCCTCCAGGGGCCTGCGGCTGCACAATAGCCCCGGAGGCTGCCACTCTTGGGCTTAAGTGGTTGCCTGGGCAACAGCTGGGGCCAGTTTCCACCAATCTGTGCGGAGGCTGGCTGGGGGAGGGAGGTCGTCCAAGGAGGGGTGCTGTCCGCTTGGTGCCCGGTGGGTCCTGTTTTAGGAGGGCAGTGAGCAGGAGCAGCCTGGCTGCAGGCCCCTACCGAGGACTTGGGGGGGGGCGTGGACCCAAGATGCTGCGAACAGAGAGCACCAAGCCTGGGTCCTGGGGCAGCTTCTGGGCCATCCTGACTTTGGTGGGCCTGGCCACCCGCTCAGGTGAGGGGGTTTTGGGGGTGGGGGCAGGGAGGATAGCTAGGACTGCCCCGCTGAGAGAGGGCTTCAGCCAGAGTCCCACGGGGAGCCAAGAACAGAGTCTATCTCAACCGCTCAGTGGCTCTTCCCTGAAGGAAGCCGAGGCTGAGACTAAAAGAGCCCCTTCCTTTGTCCTGGGCCTGGGCAGAGGCAAAGGGGCCACCATGGGCGGGCAGCCAGTCAGGTCCTGAAAAGTGACAGCTTGGGGAGGTGGGGCTGGACGATCACTGCTGCTTCTCTCTCACCTCCCACTCTCCCTCTGCCCTGGCCCCTTCTCTCTCTCTCACACACATACAAACACACACACACTCACCTGCTCTTGTGGCACCCTCTCTGCAAGAGTCCACAGACGCCTGTGTGAGTGTGCAAGAGGGCACCCGTGCATGAGGGAGTTGTGCATGAATGTGAGTGTGAGTGGAAGTACATGGGCACACGGGAATGTGTGCCTTAGTTGTGGATGAGCCTATGCGTGCACGAGAGTGACAAGTTAGGGTGTGAGCACACGGGTGTGTGAGTGTGTGTGTGAGTGCATGGAAGTGTGTGTGCACCAGTGAGTTGTACATAAATGCGTGTGATAGCATGAGGGCGCTTGTGTGAGAGTGAGGGTTCGAGTGCACGAGTGAGTGTGAGCCAGGCACAGTGTGTGTGTGTGTGTGTGTGTGTGTAAGGTGGGGGACACTTGGCTGTTGCCAGACCCCCTCCTTGCAGACTTAAGAGGTCCTCTTGGAGCCTGCAGCTTTCTGCAGCGGTGCCCACGTCCCCATCTGACCCTCCTGGCATCCCTGGCAGACGATACCAGTCTCAACATGCAGTTCCTGGGAGTGTCCCATCTGGCATCAGCCACCTTCTGCGCTTTCTCTGGGTTCCCCCCTCACCCCTTGCTCCAGGTCACCTGCTGAAAGTGGGCTTCTGTGTTGCCAGTCAGGCTCCAGGATAGTCAAACTGGAAAGGAGTTTCCCTTCTGGTCCCTCAGCCTCCTCACCCTGCTCCAGCCTCCCTGCGCCCCACTTCCCTTGCAGGTCCTTTGCACTGCAACCTGAGGGGGACCTTTACTGGCTGACTTCCGGTCATTCCCCGGGGAGCCCTTTCCCACCTCCCACACCATCACAATCCCTCTCTCTGGGGCACAGCTAAACCTGAGAGTGCCCTTGCATCCTGGGTTGGATAGACACAACTGCCCCACTTTGATGACTGGGAGAGGGGCCAGCCCTAGACAGACCCTCGGGGCCAGCCCTGGACAGACCCTCAGCAAGGGAAGCACCAGTGTCTCGGCCTCTTCGGCGGCAGGTCAAGTAGACAGTTCTTCAGGGAGCCAGATGGATGGGACCAAGAGTTCCCCTAACTCTCACTGGGGACATCTAGCACTGAAGAGTTAGCTCTGAGTAGTCTTGCTCATGACCTTCCCTGGCCCAGAACCAAGGGCAACCTCCCAGGATGGGAAGGGGCTGTTCTACCCAGGAGGTGCCCATGTGAATACATATATCCACACGCCTGATGGGCACAAGCAGACATGCACACACAGCTCCTCTGCTCACTCTCATATGCACATGTCTCTAGGTGGTTCCTCTGTTCCTGGATGTGGCTTCCATTGTCCCCAGACATGGCCCTTGTCTCCCTCTCTCCCCAGACATGGCCCCGGACTCCCTCTGTCCCCATACATGGCCCTTGTCTCCCTTGGTCCCCATACATGGATTCCTCTGTCCCTGAACATGGCCCTGGTTCCCTCTGTCCCCAGATGTAGTCCCGGGCTCCCACTGTCCCCACATGTGGCCCCGGGCTTCCTCTGTCCCAGCATGTGGCCCTGGGTCCAGGGGCTTCCTCAGGCTCGGGCTCCTTCTTGCCACAGCCCAGCGAGCCGACGTCGGTGGGGAGGCAGCGGGCCCTTCCATCAACCATGCCCAGATGCTGCTGCAGCGCCTGCAGGAACTGCTGCGGCAGGGCAACGCCAGCGACGTGGTCCTGCGGGTGCAGGCGGTGGGCACCGAGGAGGTCCGTGTCTTTCACGCCCACCGCCTGCTGCTGAACCTGCACAGCGAGCTCTTCCGGGGACTGCTGGGGAACCAGAGCGAGGTGGAGCTGCTGGAGCCCCGAGACTGCGCCGCCGTCTTTGACAAGTTCATCAGGTGTGGCAGAGCAGGTTTTGGGGGGGAGTATTTGGGGGGGAATCACCTCTTCCCGAGGCCCTGGCCCCTCCACCCACAGGATCCCTGAAGCCTGGGCCCCCAGAGGTCCAGGTGTGCTCAGGCGGCCTCCTCTCCCATCCCTGCCATGCTGAACTCTGAGCAATGCCCCACCTTGCCTGTGTGTTCTGTGAGAGTCACCTGACAGGGTCAGCTCCCCACCCCAAGAACCCCCTCTGAGCGGTGTCTCCAGACCCCGCCAGGGGGGCTTTTACAAACTGCAGCTCTTCAGACCCCCTCCCCCTGCCCGGGATGGTGGGCTTCCCGGGCCAGCGACCACTGCTCTTTTCATGTTTCCACGTAGTCCTGGTGTCCAGCCCGGTGTGAAACCACTATGCTAGAGAGCTGAAAAAGTTAGCCAAGCCATTGCCAACCTCCCCTGTGCCCGCCTCCCCCCCCCCCACTGAAACAGGGCAACATTCACATGATAGTCTAAGAACTGGGTTTGGAAAGACGAGGCTTTCTACTCCTGTAAAGAGTTACAGGGACAGTTGTGTCCTGTCCTGTCCAGTAGCTGTGAGTCAGCATGGACTCCATGACAGTGAAAGAGCGAATTAGAGGGGCTCTTTGAATGCAGTGGCTTAAACAAAACGGCCGCCAAGCTCCCGCCCTTACTTCCAAGTTCCGGTAGCAGGAAGAGGGGGCATAAAACAGAAGGGGATGTAAAGATCTCCTCCCCAGCGGTAGTCAGGGCCATGGACGTGGTCTTCCCCCTAATCCTACACAGGGTCGCTATGCGTCAGAATCCACTCGGTGGCAGCGAGTTCGGTTGTTGTATCATCGTTACAGAAGTACATCGCCGGGCCTTGCGGATTCCGGCTGTCAGCCCTGTGCGGTTCAAACTCACCCACCGCTCTCTTGGAGGAAGATGAGGCTGTCAGCTTCCGTAAAGATGGGCTCAAAGCCTGTATAGACAGGGTGCTAATGAATCGGAATGGACTCGCTGGCAGTGGGTGGGTTTCTGGCAAGGAAGGAGCACAGTGGGAGGACCCTTGAGAAGGCAGGACCTGAAGGGTTTGCTCCGGGCCCCAAGCTCTCCCCAGGGGCGTGGCCACCCTGACCCCGCCCCACCTCTCGCCCCTCCCCAGGTACCTGTACTGCGGTGAGCTGACCTTGGTCCTGGCCCAAGCCATCCCCCTGCACAAGCTGGCCACTAAATACGGAGTGACCTCGCTGCGGCGCGGCGTGGCCGACTACATGCGCGCGCACCTGGCGGGGGGCGCGGGCCCCGCGGTGGGCTGGTACCACTACGCCCAGAGCACCGGCGACGAGGCGCTGCGCGCCAGCTGCCTGCAGTTCCTGGCCTGGAACCTGTCGGCGGTGGCGGGCAGCGCCGAGTGGGCCCTCGTGAGCCCCGAGCTGCTGGCGCAGCTGCTGCAGCGCTCGGACCTGGTGCTGCAAGACGAGCTGGAGCTGTTCCAGGCGCTGGAGGCCTGGCTGGGGCGCGCGCGGCCGCCTGCGGCCG